TGTGTAGCTGGAGTTTAACCCTGAGCCTTGTGCATCCTAGACAAGTGCTCTTCCACTGGGCCACACTCCTGGTCCCTTGTTTAACCCTCCATGTACCGCAAATGTAGCAAATACACCGGCTGATGGTGCTTCATGGAGTGTTTGCCCTCTCTTGGGCTGGGTGGTTCCAGAGGGCCCTTCCAACACCGTCACTCATTGCTTCAGGCTCATGCCTACCTCCTTGAGCTCTGCCAGGACCAGTGGAGGAAGTGGGTGCCAGGCTCTTGTTGAAGCTGAGGAGATGTACGGGATAAGGAAGGCTCATGCTGGTTCCTCCAGGGAGCTGCCCGGATGCCGGGGCCTTGTATACCATGAGCAGTGTAAGCTCAGCCAACAGCAGCTGAGGAAGCTGGATTTAGCCAGCATTAAACTGTATTAAGCTGTGCTGTTTCTACAAAGAGTGTGTTTTAGGATAAACCTGATGCCAAAGGCACCCGAGAGCGAGTGGCTTTGTGCCGTCCCGGCCCTTAGTGCAGAGAGCCGGTCTCCTGCACACGCACATGCGCTTGGGACAGGAAATCCAGCTTCAGCCTCTTCCTGTTTCTTCCAGCAGAACACCACCCAGGGCTAAGCATTGGACTCAGGCTGGGCCAATGGAGACACTCCAGCCTCCAGGCTACTGTGACCCTTCCAGATTTGTTCACGTCACACAAACAAGGCACAGCACTTTCTTGGGATCCTTTCCACTGGTGGAAGCTCCTGGTCGCAGGGCTGTTGGAAGTCATGTGACCACCCCACAGAACACCTGTGTGGCAGGACAGAAAGGAGGTAGCTGTTAGAGATGAGAAGTCTGGCTGGTGTCTGAGTCCCCGACTTCAGACCTCCCAAGGCCAGCTCCACTCCTGGGCTTCTTGTCCTTAATAAAATGCTTTGTTCACGTAAACTAGCATTTGATTTTTATCACTCCAAATCAAGGTAATTCTGCTTGGGATTGATCACCCCTTAGTTCAGAGCATGAAAGCAGCTCGCCTAGGCTCGCCCAGCACATCTGGTGCGGAGCAGAACTCAGGACCCAATTCTTCACCTCCTGTAGTCCCTTTTCTGATGAATGTCCTTGCAACTCTCGGGGTTCCAAGGCCTCTGCCGCAGGGCCTGGGCTCAGAGGACAGTGGCATACAGTATAGAAAGCCCCTACTTCGTGCTCACCAAAGCCTCCGGTGGGGTCTGTGACAAGGCTGTGGGCAGAGTACATGCACTTGGCTCCAACAAGAGACCGCCTCATGCCCCTGTCGGCCCTGGCAGCCCCTCCCTTGACTGCCACCGGCTCTCCTTCCAAGAAAAAGACAACCGTCACCTTTACAGAACAGTTTGTAGACGGAGGCCTGGACACTGCCCAGCAAGAGGTACTGTCGTCCCTTCTCATAACAGATGGCAAACCTAAGCTGTGGAACAATTACAGCACATGCCTAAAATGAGAAACACAACCCACAACACAGAGCAGGGATGTGAACTCAGCTGTCTGTTCCTAGGCTTTCTCAACCGTTGTATTCTATGTTGTAGAGATGGTGCCTTATGTTGCCCACGCTGGTCTCACACACGTGGGCTCAAGCTATCATGCTCAGCTTCCTGAGTGGCTGACCCTACAGATGGAGCCACTGCTCGGCCATGCGTAGACATCCCCTAGGTGTGGTATCTTCTTTAGGAATTGTGCATCAGAGCATTCTCTGACAACAGGACGATCTGGTTTTGGGAGGGAGAGGGCACGGCAGGTGTTTTGAGGTTGAAACAGGCAAGTTTGGATTCTGGTTCTAGAGTACTCCCTGTGAGTTAGAGCACGCATATCTACCAGCTGTTTCAAGGCCGTCTATGCGGCTTATACTATCACGGAAGAAAGGGGAGACACTTCTCTTCTTTGCCATTCTTGGGGGCTGGCTGGGTGAGCATTATTTCAGTAGGGTCTTCCCAGTCCTGTACAGGTTGCAAAGCAAACTCTAGTGTCCCTGGATTGTAAAAATCCTCTGGGAAGGCAAGACTAGCCGAAGCCTGAGAGGGGGCTATGCTGGGCTGCGTGAGTGTGCAGGTGTGTTTTCACATGCATGTGTTTTTGTGTACGAGAAGGGTTGTGATTGTTCCTGTGAGAACGGATTCCAGCTGTGAGGAGCTGCCAGCTCGGAGGGGAGCGTTCCGGCCCACTGCCCATGTTTGGAGTCACTCAGACTTAGCTGAGTACACAGCAGCCGGGAGCCTAATTTCGGCAGCTGACATCAGCAAGCAGCAGAAAAATGTAGGTGCAGTCCCCCTCCTTCCCTCTCCCCCTTCCCTTCCAGGGGCGAAACAGGCCCGGCCCGGACAACAGGTCTGCACATGAAGTATCCAGGGAACCAGTGTTGGGCAGCTCCGGGCACATGTGTGCACCGCATGTACATGCAAGTGGCTTTCGGGGGTGCATGTGTGGGAAGGTGTGGGCTGCGGCTTCTGGACCGGCTCAGCTCTAATCAACTCTCCCCTCTGAGCTCAGACTGTCCATCTGTGTAATCGGGCAGAAGGATGCCTGCCTCCCAGGACTCCTGATCCCTGCAGAGAGTGAGGTTTGAGAACTCTGGTCTAGGAGAGCCCTGTGAGACAATGAGCAGGCCCTGCTTTCATTCCGTGAACAGGGATGATGAGCCCAAGACCGGGACAGGGAAGTGCCTGGGTCATGGAGCAAATCCAGCACAGTCTGACGAGAATGTGGACCTCCTGCCTCCTAGGAATGATGTGCTAAAGCTCAAGCCAATCCTGGAAAAACAAGAGCAAGATGCTGTCAAAGGCGAACTCTTACTGGCTTCCCCGACCTTCCACGCTGGTGTCATTTTGAGGGCAACACACTCTGCAAACATTACTTATGAGCACAGACTTTCATGGATTCTGCCGGAGGGGGTCTCTCGCATGGAATATTAGCTCAGAGAGACATACAAAGGACGGTATGACTCTGGGTTTGCTGAGCCAGTTGATTTACTTCATGACTACAAGTTCATACGGAGTTCTCGAGGATCCTCTGGCCCCTTTATTGACTCTGCATGAATCCAGCTTTTCCTAAAAGATAAATTACAGAGTAGATGGAGATATGGAGGCCAGGGTTTAGGACCACTCACCATAAACTGCTAGGCTGGTCCTCTTCCGTGTGCCAGTTCTGCCCACATCTACCCACATCTGCCCACTGCAGACCTCAGCTCACCACTTCTCTTTGACTCTCCTCTGGCCCTCTGCACTGTGCTGCCCACATGGGCGTCCATCCATCAGTTCAGATCACTCCTTAAAGCCCCCATCCCACTTCAGGACCCAGCCCAGGGCAGCTATGGTGGGAATGGATGTCCAGTGGGATGGCTCCCAGGAGAACCTGGAGTTAAGACATGCAGGTCCTCAGCTGCCATTCAGCCTATATGACATTTCAGGTAACATGCTGATACTTTCTGGCTGATCTAGACCCTCCACATATAAATCACACACATCTTTTTTTGGTCACACACTACATACACACCAGGCTCTTCGTGAGCATTAGTGTGAATCCTGATTCACATCCATACTCCTATGTTCATGGTGAGGCACCCAAGGCTCAGAGACCCTATCACTTTTAGCAAGGGAAGCTACCTTTGACCTCAAGGCTGATCCCCTGGTTCATGCTCAAACAATAATAGCACAGGGCTTCTCTCAGCGTGCTGTGTTCCCTGGAGATTAGAATCAAGGTCCTTCCCCAAGCAGGACCTCTTCTCTTAGTGTGTGGGGTGGCTTTTCCCTGACCTGGACTCCTTATGTCCTTGCCTACATTAGCCTTCATTTTTCATATAGCAGGCAGTGAGTAAGGGGACCATATGGACCCCCAACTAATCTGTGACTCTGGTAAACTGTCCAGTTTCTGCTGTGGCTTTTTACTGGCAGAGGTAAGTATCCCCAGATCTGTCCTATAATACACGCATGTATATCAGAAGACATTTACAAAGTGTTCATAGCTGCACTGTTTATAGCTGTCACAGGTGTTTATCAATCTAAGTATCTTGCAATGGAACGATATGCTGAATGACTGAACTGTATTAAATTTGTCTCTTTAAAAACGTTTTCATTATTTTATTATTTATGTATATGGATATGTGTCTGTGTGAGACTTGTGCACATAAGCATGGGACCTAAAGAGGCCAGAGGAGTAAATCAGAGCCTCAGGAGCTGGAGTTACAGGTGGCTGTGAGCTGCTGGACATTGGTGCTGCGAACTGACCTTGGTTTCTCTGCAAGACCTGTGTGTGCTCCTAACTGCTGAGCTATCACTCCAGATTCCACAGTTTTATAAGTGTGTGTGTGTGTGTGTGTGTGTGTGTGTGTGTGTGTGTGTCAGAGTGTATGCCACATGTGTGTGTGTGAGTACCTGCAAAGGCCAAAGAGGGTATTGGATACCCTGGAGGTGGAATTATTGGCAGTTATGAGCCACTAGACCTGGGTGCTGAGAACCAATCCCAGGTCCAGAAGGGCAGTATAAACTCTTAACTGCTGAGCCATCTCTCCAGCTCCTAAAGTATACTACATTTGTACAGTAGACTTCTGTACCTCCATGAAAATAAAACAGGCCATTGTTTTCTGCAAAAGTATGAATGCATCCTCTAACAGTGTAGAGTGAGAGAATCTTGGCACTAAAGAGTAAATATCATAAGACCCCCTTTATAAGAATTTCCAACTCTTCCAAAAGAAAAAACTAATCAAGATGGTTGATTTGAGAGGGTTGATTTCTGTGCTGTGGGAATGTTCTGTGACCCATGTGGCAGGGATATTGGTATCTGCATTGGTGGAAACTTATCAACCTGTACACACGGTATGTACCTTACTATGTAGGCATTATATTTCAGGTTTTTTTTTTTTAAATCTAAGAAAAATAGTAAAGCAGTGGAAATTTCAGTGAATTCCAAAACATCAGCCCACAGCCACTGACCAGGTAACAAAGCAATTGAACCACTGAGTGGTAGCTCCCCTTACAAATGCATGCACCTGGCCACAGGAGCACACCTGTGAATAAACAACTGGGTACTAGAAAGCACCCTAAATAGAACCGGAGGACAAGAGCATCGTCAGTTCAGTCCCGATGCACCGTGAGTACTCAGAGGTTTGTTGAGTCACATGACCTCACTCACACGTGGAAAGCACAAACGCCCTGCAATCCTCTCACTAATCCCGCACACCTCCGGGCTTCAGTGCTCTCGCCTCAAACCCGCTCTCCAGTTTTGATCTTCTATTGCCAGCTGAGACATGCCTGCTCGCTATCGGTCAGGTCAGAGAGACCCTCCTGCCACGGTTGTCTCATGGAGGATGACGGACATCTCCATTTATACTCAGTGGGATGGAAGCGAGATCAGGGCCACATGTGACAGAACCTGATTTAGTCATCAGGGACAGAAATAAGGTTTTGCTAAATCAGACTCTGTCTCAACAATGCAAAAAAAAAAAAAAAAAAGAAAACCAGAGGAGGAGAGAGGGAGGAGGAATTGGGGGAAGGCTGGACTTGAACTCCTGGGCTCAGCCTTCTGAGAAACTGTGATTACACCTATCTTGAGACCTTTAAAACTGTAATCTGCATTATGAGTGTTTTCCATTCCGTTCTGGAGTCCTAGACTGTAGATGGTCAATGAAACAGTAAATCAAGTCCCGATATATGGGCTTTGTGGCCACAATGGCCACCATCTCGCTGAGTACAGAGGGGGAGGAGACACAGGAGTGTGTCCTTCTGTGATCTCCCTACAGCACAGAGGCAAGAGGTGTGTCAAGAACAGAGACAACAATAAAATGTAGTAAAGATAGTCAGTATTGCCATTGTTTCAAATAGCATTTAATGAGTTGTAAATGTGAGTTTTTTAGTATTATTATTTTTGAGACAGGGTCTCATGCAGCCCTGGTTGGCCTCGAACTCACTCAGTAGCCTAGGATCACACTTTTGTTTATTAATTTATTCATGTAAGTATTTATTTAGAGCAAGTGTGTGTGTGTGTGTGTGTGTGTGTGTGTGTGTGTGTGTGTGTGTGTACACTAACACTCATGCAGCCCACAGTGCACAGGATGAGATATAGAGCCATTCTCTGGATTGGGTTCTCTCTGGCCACCTTGTGGGATCCAGGGATCCAACTCGGGTCTTCAGGCCTGTGTGCAAGTGTGTCTACTCACTGAACCACATTATTTTAAATACCAGAATCTAAGCACTGAAAACATAGCAATCAACTTTCTAAGCTCTCAAACCCTCGGGAGAAGGTTGTATCTTTGCCCCGTCTCAAGATCCCAGGCCACATAGTCCTTGTTCACTCCAGCCATTGACTCCTACTTCCCTTCATGTTCCTGTGAGAGGCTCCGGCTCTGAGCCGCCTCTGTGTCTCGATGCCTAGTACTGAGCAGATTGCCTTGTATAGATGTGTGCTGAAACCAGGTCTTGGACCAGCCCTCTCCACCCTGGACCCAGGCATCTTCATGACCTCATCCTTTGGGGCAAGGACAGATTCTCAACAGAGAGGGCAGCCATTTGGCCTCAGTTTCCCCATCATCAAAGTGCTAAGGAAATAGAGGCTGGGACGGGAGCCAAACTCAGATGTTCCCACTGGTCTCTTTTTCTTAGGCATGTGAATGTAGGCTCTTACATCTGCCCTATATGTGTCTCTTGGCTTCTCGTGGAAT